AGGATTGCCCAGTCCTCATTGACCGTCAGCTTGAACTCTGCACTTTAACCCCAGCCCTGGCCCTGTAACCTGCGTTTTACACAAGCCCATGCCCAGTCCTCTCTAAATTTGATCGGCCACCATATTCCTGGTTCGGGTTATTGAGGTTGGCTTTGGTTCATTTTAATTGTGTTTTTATACTCTACCATTCAAATTGTTTAATTAGATTGCGATGTGTTCATTATGTTTTTCAGTGTGTTTTTACTTTGTTAACTTTGCTGTTATTGGGCTTTGTTCCACTTGTAAGCTGCCCAAAAGTCCATTCGGGGAGATGGTATCAGGTCATAAAAACAAAGTTGTTGTTGTTGTTGTTGTTGTTGTTGTTGTTGTTGTTGTTATGAGTGTGGCTTAGAGGGCACACCCTCAGGCTCAGAGGGGGGGCATGTCACAATGCCCCCCCCCCCCCCCCCCGCCTGCATCACAGCCACTGCCCTTAACCCCTCTGCCCCCCAGTGAGCCTCACTCTAGGCCTTTGGGAATAGAGAGCATGTCAGGAGAAGTTTGTCATGCCAGGCGCCCCCTGTGGGCCCCCAGCCCACGTAGGCAGGGGCATGTGGAGGAGAGGCGGGCCCTCCTCCGGGCACAAAAGGAGGGGGCCCAGGCCCCCCAGAAGCTCCGCCTCCTCAGGCCAAAAGAATTTGTTGGCCTTGGGGGGGCCCTTCCAAGGGGCCCCGCAAGACATGGGGCCCCCTGCCTCAAGAAGCAGGGGCCCCTCCAACCCCTCCTGCTCCCCAGGAGGAGGGAGGCAGAGGGGGCCCTGCCCTGCCTGGGCCGCCCCTCGGAGGGGGGTAATGGAAGCGGGGCCAGGGCAGAGAGGCGGCGGCCGTGCCCCCAGGGGCCTCTCCGGGCCCTCCTGGCGGGGAGGGAGGCGGAGGAGGGGGGGCTTCCCGTCATCCTCCTCCCCGCCCCCTCCTCCCCCCCTCCCCGGCCGAAAGCCAACACCTGGGGCCCGGAGACCCGCCCCCTCCTGCCACACATCCGCCGGCCTGCCCGTATACGAACACCGCCCTTGACCCCGCCCTCAACTCCCTGCAGGCTTTTTAGGTAAGTACACATGCACAGCACCCCCTGCTCCTCCCCTCCCCTTCCGTTGCCCCTCCCCCTGCTGGTGGGGTTTGCTTTTCCACATGGAATGGGAGGGACCTTGCTTGCGGGGGCGGGGCTTGGCTCTAAGCAAGTGTCATGGGGAAAGGGGAGGAGCCCCACCTCACCTAAAGGGGCGGGGCTTCCTTTTAAGCAAGGGACAAGAGAATGGGCGCGAGGGGGGGGCTCCCTTGGAGGGGGCGGGGCTGTGCTCTATGCAAGTCTCAAGGTGATGGGGCGGGGAATATTGAGGAATTATTAGGATTCTAGGGACCACATATACAGTATATAGATATATATTGTGATGTACATATTTTGATAATTAAAATAATTTTGATAATTAAAATCAGAATGTATAGGTTGGTCAGTTGGTGACGATGGGCAGGGGGAAAGCCTTCTCATGGGGAGGAGTGAGGAGAGAACAGAGTTCACTAGAGGGGACATGAACACAGAAAAGGGAGGCAACTGTCACTCCTCTGTGCTCTTTTGACATTAGCAGCTATACAAAATATATATAAATGTCTTTTCTTTGCAGATGAACCAGACGGTTTTCATCGACCTCCCCCTCCCCCTCCTCCCCCTCCCCTCCTCTCCCCCCCCCCCTTGAGGGGTTCCTATGCCAGAGGTATCATCGTTGCCCTCCTCCTCCCCTTCCTCCTGAGGAGAACATCACGAGGAGCTCCTGCGCTACAGGAATCGTCGTCATCTTCCTCCTCTTCCTCCTCCTGAGAAGAACATAATAAGGAGCTCCTATGCCAGAGGTATCACCGTCGCGCTCCTCCTCCTCCTCCTCCTGAGAAAAACATAATGAGAAGCTCCTGTGCCAGAGGAATCGTTGTCCTCATCGTCCTCCTCTTCCTCCTGAGGAGAACATCCTGAGGAGCTCCTATGCCAGAGGTATCATCGTCACACTACTCCTCTTTTTCCTATTGAGGAGAACATCATGAGGAGCTCCTGTGCCAGAGGGATCGTTGTTGTCATCCTCCTCCTCTTCCTCCTCAGGAGAACATCCTGAGGAGCTCCTATGCCAGAGGTATCATTGTCATCCTCCTCCTCTTCCTCCTCAGGAGAACATCCTGAGGAGCTCCTATGCCAGAGATATCACCATCGCCCTCCTCCTCCTCTTCCTCCTGAGGAGAATACCATGAGGAGCTCCTGGGCCAGAGGGATCATTGTCGTCATCCTCCTCCTCTTCCTCCTCAGGAGAACATACCGAGGAGCTTCTATGCCAGAGATATCATCGTCGCCCTCCTCCTCCTCTTCCTCCTCAGGAGGGCATCATGAGTACATGATGTTCCTCCTGAGGAGAGCATCATGAGGAGCACCTGCGCCAGAGGAATCATTGTCGTCATCCTCGACAGAAGTACGTGTGAAAAAGATCTTGGAGTCCTTGTGGACAACAAGTAAAACATGAGCCAACAATGTCATGAGGCAGCAAAAAAAGTCAACAGGGTTTTGGCCTGCATGAGTCTACTTCTAGATCCAGAGAAGTCATGTTCTCCCTCTATTCCGCCCTGGTCAGGCCACATCTGGAATATTGTGTCCAATTCTGGGCACCACAGTTGAAAGGAGATGTTGACAAGCTGGAATTTGTCCAGAGGAGGGCGACTAAACGATCAAGGATCTGGAGAACAAGCCCTATGAGGAGTGGCTTGTAAAGCTGGGCATGTTTAGCCTGCAGAAGAGAAGGCTGAGAGGAGACATGATAGCCATTGATAGCCATGTGAGGGGAAGTCATGGAGTTTGAGAGGAGCTTAAACCCAATTCTTTTCTATCAATAAATGTTGTTCTTATGTTTTTAAAAATATTTTTTTAAAGCTTAAAGATTGAACTCTGCATCTTTACCTCCTAAAATCAAGAATTATTTTTGCAGCCACAACACTTCCATCTTTTAAGCTGCTCAATAAAGTTTCCTGTTTGTATTTTTGGATGCTCTGCTATTTTGGGAGAATTCCCTAGAACAGAGAAGGGGCACTTGTACAGCAACGGGTGCTCAGGGATGGGAAGAGGTTACCTCAGAAACTCATTTTAAAATCTTAAGGCAGCTTGGGTGGTGGCAGCAACAAACCAAAAGAAGACTGAAGCAATGTTCACTCTACCAGTACACACATCTAACATCATATCGCTACCACAAAATAGATCAGCTGGGGCCTGATTCCTCCACACTATTGTCCAGTAGTGTGAGATTACATATAATCCTGTGTATTGGTGTCCAGCTGCACGATATACATTGATATCTTGTGTTAGATCATAAGGGGGATTACCTTGTTATGTTATACTGGTGGCAAGTGGTGAGATTCATAATAAGGTAGCCCTTAATTCTTTATAGTGGTGGCGGCGGCGTGATTTATAATAGTATATAACCCGTAATTCTTTTATACCCTGCCTATTGTCTCCACCAAATGCGCCTGCAAAGATGGTGGGGGCGAAAGCAGGGCCTCTCCGGAAGATTTTAAAGTCCTTGATAGTTTATAGGGGAAGATACATTCGGACAGGAAAACTGGGCCCAAGCCGTGTTGGGTTTTGTAGCTTAAAACCAGCACTTTGAATTGTGCTCAGAAGCTAATTGGCAGCCAATGGAGCTGGTGTAACAAGGGAGTTGTGTGCTCCCTGTACCCCGCTCCCCTGAGCAACCTGGCTGCTGAACATTGGACTAGTTGGAGCTTCCGAACAGAGGCAACACTACATAGAGTGTGTTGTAGTAAAGCTTCCCATTGCAGTGGAAATAATCTATCGGACAGATGGCAAACTATGTAATCTCAGCAGACTGAAAGCCAAAACCAAGGTTACAACATCTGTTATAGAACTCCAATATGCTGATGACAATGTTATCTGTGCACATTCAGAAGACCTATAAGCCATTCTAAACACCTTCACAGAAGCATATAAGAAGCTCGGCCTGTCATTGAACATCGAGAAAACCAAAGTGCTCTTCCAGTAGTCACCAGCCAATCCCTCTCCAATGCCAGAGACAGGCATGTAGCCGGGGGGGGGGGGGGTTGAGGGGCTTCAGCCCCCCCCCCCGAAATTCTCATGGTGGTTCGCGAAAAGGCCTTACTGGTGCATTATTTAAACTGTTATGGTTATTCATATCATGATCTGATCACCATACTCAATATATCCCATATGCATGGGGGTATTGGGGTAACGATACAAAAGGTTTGCTAGGGTAGACCCTCTTTCACTCAGACTCAGCCCCCCCCCCCCCCCCCCAATCAAACTCAGCTCCCCCTGAAACAAAATCCTGGCTACGGGCCTGGCCAGAGATACAGCTTAATGGTGTAACATTAGAAAATGTTGACCCTTTCTGCTACCTTGGCAGCCACCTCTCCACAAAAGTCACATTGACACTGAAATACAACACCGCCTGAGCTATGCGAGTGCAGCATTTTTTCAGAATGAAGCAGACAGTGTTTGAGGACCAGGACATCCTGGGACACCAGAATGGAAAGCATTCTCTGTACTTGAGTGCCACCTAATGGTCCAAACGTGTAACCGCAGTGTCTCTTTACCCTCAGCCTTGTTTATCATAAGTTCATAGTGTAATAACTTCAATAATACTTTAATTTATTATTATTATTATTATTCAAAGTATTGTTTGCTCGTTTGCTTGAGAGTTTTAGTTGCTTGAGTTCCGACGAATTAAGAGTTTACTGCCTTGAATTTTGACTCTCAATAGCACAGCCTGGCTCTTACACGCCTCTCTTCCCTACCAATGAATGCAAGACATCCCAGCTGCTGCTTCTAAGGCTCCGCCCCTTTTCCCAGGCTCACAAAGGACGGGGATGGGAAGCTAGGCTGCTGAGCGTTCCTGTTCCCATGGCAACGATTGTCCACAACGCTCCATGGCCCCGCCCCTTTGCCCGGGCCGCCCCCTTTTCAGCCCCTTTGCCAGGGGCAGCCAGCAACCAACCATGTCCCAAAAGGAGACGGAGCCATGGAGGGTGCCATCCCTGTTCGCTGGGAAGCCGAGCCTGGGGCTCTGGTGCCCTTCCAGGGATACAGGCAGGACTGGAAGCTGACCAGCAGTGGAGTGGGGCTCAACTATATCCCCCCCTTGCCTTTACTGCCTCCCTATGTACGAGTGAGCATTGCAAATAGGAGAAGGGGGTGCATCTGTATTGTAGTTTATGGTTGCTTTTGAATTTTCTATGAGAAATAGGCTCAATACCAGGTATGGGCAACGTCTGGCCCTCTGGGTGTTTTGGACTTCAACTCCCACCATTCCTAACAGCCACGGGCCCCTTCCTTTTCCCCCTCAGCCGCTTAAGCGGCTGAGGGGGAAAAGGAAAGGGCCTGAGGCTGTTAGGAATGGTGGGAGTTGAAGTCCAAAACACCCAGAGGGCCAGACGTTGCCCATGCTTGGTCTATACTAGTGTGCCAATAATGGGAAATAAAAAAATCTGAACTTGAACTCTTACCAAAGGAAGACAAATACTGCTAAATGGCATTTGTGAATCCTGGTAGGATGAGACTCATGGATGGAATTGAGGGGTCATAGAATTGTAGACAGACTTTGCCCATGCCTGGTCTATACTAGTGTGCCAATAATGGGAAATAAAAAAAATCTGAACTTGAACTCTTACCAAAGGTAGACAAATACTGCTAAACTGCATTTGTGAAACCTGGTGGGATGAGACTCATGGATGGAATTGAAAGGTCATAGAATTGTAGACAGATTTTGCCCATGCCTGGTCTATACTATTGTGCCAATAATGGGAACTAAAAAAATCTGAACTTGAACTCTTACCAAAGGTAGACAAATACTGCTAAATTGCATTCGTGAAACCTGGTGGGATGAGACTCATGGATTGAATTGAGGGGTCATAGAATTGTAGACAGACTTTGCCCATGCCTGGTCTATACTAGTGTGCTAATAATGGGAACTAAAAAATCTGAACTTGAACTCTTACCAAAGGTAGACAAATACTACTAAATGGCATTTGTGAAACCTGGTGGGATGAGAATCATAAATAGAATTGAGGGGTCATAGATTCATAGAGTTGGAAAGGACCACAAAAACCTTCCAGTCCAACTCCCTGCTGTTCAGGGAAATACAATCAAAGCACCCCTGACAGATGACTGTCCCGCCTCTGATTCAAAACCTCAAGAGAAGAAGACTTCACCACCCTCTGAGGCATTGCCGAAAAGCTCTTGCCCTCAGGAAGTTCTTCCTAAAGTTTAGGTGAAATATTTTTTATGCTGGTAGTTGAAGTCCAAAACACCTGGAGGGCCAGAGTTTGCCCATGCCTCATCTATACTAGTGTGCCAATAATGGGAAATTAAAAAAAAGCTGAACTTGAACTCTTACCAAAGGTAGACAAATACTGCTAAATGGAATTTGTGAAACCTGGTGGGATGAGACTCATGGATTGAATTGAGAGGTCATAGAATAGTAGAGTTGGAAAAGACCACAAGGACCATCTGGTCCAACCGCCTGCTGTGCAGGGAAATACAATTAAAGCACACCCAACAGATGACCATCCAGCCTCTGGTTAAAAACCTCCAGAGAAGAAGACTTCACCACCCTCTGAGGCAGTGTATTCCACTGCCAAAAAGCTCTTACCCTCAGGAAGTTCTTCCTAAAGTTTAGGTGGAATATTTTTTTATGGTGGGAGCTGAAGTCCAAAACACCCAGAGGGCCAGAGTTTGCCTATGCCTTCTCAATACTATACTCCAAACGCTACCATATCACTATTTTGGTGGGATATTAATATTGAAATCCAGTAATTTTTAGACCATAATTGCTCTTTTGTGTGTTTCTGTGTGTCCCTGTTGCCAGTCTACAGTCCAGGAGCCCTTGCCCCCTGGCTCTGAGAAAAGCTATAGAGATGAGGTTATTCCCCGCCTGACCACCACCTCGCAGCTTGCCTATGGCTCCAAGAACCACAGCCCGGTCCTAACTCATGACCGGTACTTTGTTGCCGATGCACACAACAGCGTCCACTATATTAAAGATTTGAAAGAGAAGGTAAGAGATTCTTCTGAAGGATGAGAGATAGTAAGACCTGGGTATGGAAAGTGTAATATTTACACAATGGTGTCCACTATATTAAAGATTGGAAAGAGAAGGTAAGAGATTCTTTTGAGGGACTTTTTTTTTTTTGTCGTGTCAGGAGCAACTGCTCCTGTTGTGAGAGAATTGGCCGTCTGCAAGGACGTTGCCCAGGGGACGCCTGGATGATTTTTGATGTTTTTATCATCCTTGTGGGAGGCTTCTCTCATGTCCCCACATGAGGAGCTGGAGCTAATAGAGGGAGCTCATCCACCTCTCCCCGGATTCGAACTTGCGACCTGTCGGTCTTCAGTCCTGCCGGCACAGTGCTTTAACCCACTGCGCCACTGGGGGCTTTTGAGGGACGAGGAGTAGTAAGACTTGGGTATGGAAAGTGCAATGTTTACACAATGGTGTCCACTATATTAAAGATTGGAAAGAGAAGGTAAGAGATTCTTTTGAGGGATGAGGAGTAGTAAGGCTTGGCTATGGAAAGTATAAAACAAATGTGCAGTGTTTACAATGTGCAACAATTAAAAATGGGGGAGGGATCCTTGTCTCCAGAGAAATAGAATACAGGCACTCCCCAAGTTACAAACATCCGATTTCCAAATGACTCGTAGTTAAGAATGAGAGCCAGACAACAGGGAGATAAATCTACACTCAGGAAGGGAAATTCACTCCCGGAAGAGTGATCATGGGAAAAAGGTGTTGAAATCAAGCAATTTAAAGCAACTACCGATAGTGAAATCCGGGCTGTGGATGGCAAAACCTGAAGCATGGATACAGAGTTCCAATAGGCAGATACCAGTACCAGCCTCAGGATGCCATGAATTCGTACGCCTGGCGAGATGAAGAAGCTACCCAGTGTTCCAATATAAATTAAGATGAAGCCACTAAGGTAGTTTATTCAAGTCAGGTGAAGTGATGCCAGCTTGCGGTAATCTTCCAAAGTAAGCTGAGATACCATAACATTGCAAAAAAGACATTTATTTACAGTACAGTCCTTTGAAATTCCCACTCCTGCCCCAGCTGGAGCCGCTTGGCTAGGCTCTGTTGACATCATGAATAGCTGAGGGAGGATTTCCTGCAGAGGCGGGACTACAGGGCCCACCAGCCAATAGGTGAGCGTTCCTTGCTTCCAATGCAGATTCCTGCTCTCCAATGGCTGACAGGGGGCAGTCTAATCCGGGAGACAAAGGAAGTGTGATGACTTCTGAATAGATTTTTGAGTCCCAGCCGAGAGACAAACAAAGGGGTCCCTTGCGTTTTATTGTAAAGATAATAGCAATATGAATCCTCAGTGAATGGGTCAAGCGCTGTCCATTGAGTCCAAAAGCAGAAATATTGTCCATGCTGATAGAATTAAGTGGTCTGTTCCTGGGAAAGGGGAAATATCATAGTTGGAGAACGGGGCATGACCTCCTAGCCTACAGATAGTCATGCCAGGTGATGAATGGTATGTAATGTCCAGGCAATTGAAACAAAGGATGGGTGGCCCAGCAAATGGATCCTGTCATCCTCTGCACAGTTGGGGTCTATGAGACCAGTAGAGATGGACTGGCCCAAGGGTGATGGGTGATTGAGTCCTTCATGTAGATGAGACCCAGGAAGATGAAAGGTCATCGCAAGGACTTGATTGGTGGCATACTTCTCCAAAAGGATTTTATATCAAGATACAAAATATAACATATTAAACACACACACATGAGAATCCGTGGATACCGAGAGGAACTCTGCAAATGGGTGTCTAGATAGCCATGGGGAACGGAAGATGCACACAAGGGATCCTTGGATACCAAGGGGAATGCTGTGGATAGGTGTCTAGATATCCACAGGAAAGAGAAGATGCACACAAGGGATTATGGATACCAAGGGGAACCCTGCATATTAGTGTCTAGATATCCAAGGGGAAGGAAAGATGCACACAAGGGATCTGTGGATACTGAGGGGAACACTGCAAATTGGTGTCTAGATATCCACTGGGAAGGGAAGTTGCACACAAGGGATCTGTGGATATATAGGGGAACCCTGCGGATGGGTGTCTGGGTATCCACGGGGGAGGTTAAAGTTGACACGGGGTTATTGCGGTAAAGGTGAGGTAAATGCAGGGAAAATGGGGAGGAGAGCCCTGGTCTCAGGGCTACGAGGGCTGTGTGGCCCAAGCGGCCACCAGGCCAATTGTGTAGGAGACTTCTAATTTTCTTGCTGGCTCATGTTGATGAGTCTCCACAATCATTGTAATTGATTTTAATGGGGTTTTTTAATGCTTAATATTTATTCATATCTTATTTCCATATGCTATTATGCTTTGTATGATTTTGTCGTATTTTGTGTTAAATATGCTTTGATTTGTATTGTGTTATATTTATACACAGTGTATATGCAATGTGGCACTGAAGTGGCCAAACTGTGAGCCGCTCTGAGTCCCCTTTGAGATGAGAAGAGCCGGGTAGAAATTTAGTATGTGTAATATATCCAGGAATGTACCTGTTCAGACTTACATACAAATTCAACTTGAGAACAAACCTACAGAACCTATCTTGCCTCTAACTTAGGGACTGCCTGTATAGGCAAGTCCTATGAGGAGCTTACCTTGGAGAAGAAAAGGTCAAAAGGAGACATGATAGCTATGTGTAAATATTTGAAAAGGTACCGCATTGAGGAGGGAGCAGGTTTGTTTTCTGCTGCTCTGGAGACTAGGTCAGGGAGCAGTGGATTCAAATTGCAGGAAATTACTACTTTCACTCTACCCAGTGAAAGAGTTAATATGTTCTGTAACCACTAGAGGTAAGAAAGGGGCCAGAGAAGACTAAGGGCCCTTCCACAGAGCCCTATATCCCAGAATCCCAAAATATCTGCTTTGAACTGGGTTATCTGAGTCCACACTCAGATAATATGGTATTTTCTGCCTTGATATTCTGGGATATAGGGCTGTGTGGAAGGGCTTTAAGTATGGATTTTCCAAGCTCCTTGCTTGATACTACTTGTCCAGATCAGCCTCCACAAGTTGTACCAAGAGCAGCGAAATGAAGAACAAGGGGTGAGGGAGGTAGGACTCCCTGTACCTCTGATTCCATACCCTCCAAAGTTGGGGGTCATCATCTTAGTGGGTCTAAGAGCATTTTTTTCTGCTCCTAAGGCCCCTTCTATACTGCCATATAATTCAGTTTGAATTGGATTGTATGAGTCTAAACTGTCATATAATCCAGTTCAAAGCAGATAATCTGGATTTAATAAGGCAGTGTAGAAGGGGCTTAAGACACTTTGAGGAACTCAAAAGCTTGCGAAAATGATTTATTTATTTATTTAGCGCTTTTATGACTTCCGAAGAGGGACTCAGGCCGGCTAACAACAGGAAATTCATATACAAATAAGCTAAAACATAATAACATCATAGTATGTTACTTCCCCTGCCCAAGAAAAGCCAAGAAAATTAGAAATAGGTACAAGTCCACTTCTGGTTTGGAAAAAAAAAGTATTAGTTGATATCATGTAGTGCTGGGGAGCTTTGCTACCTTTTTTTAAAAAAAGGCTAAATTCCATACTTGGAAGCTTCCATATGAATTATTTCACTACAGTGGCACCTCACTTATTGCGGGTGTTACATTCCAGGATTCACAGGTTTTGTTTTGGTTTTTTTTAATAATTTTTATTGCATTATAGTGTAAATACATGTAAAGTGGGGGAATATTTGTGGAGGAGATAGAAAAGTAGGAAACGATAGTGGGGGAAGGAGAGGTGTAGGGGTAGGTGGGGGTGGGGGAGTTGGCTTAAAAGCCATAAAAAATAGTAGTAAATTTTTTTTTAAAAAATTGGTGTGACTTCCATCTGTTCTTTGAAGATCTTCTATACGTATACTCAAAAAATAGACAAAATGTCTTTCTTTCTAATTAGACCAGGATGCTTTCCTGCGATGCTGTTATTATATTTTATCTTCTTAATCATCAAGAAATGACCTCTATTTTTTGTTGTTTGAGATAATTTTTCACCAGCTCTCAGGTTTTGAGATCCACTGCTCTAGTGAGTGTGGAGGAGCTGCAGACTGCAAAAACAACATTGTTGTTTTCTAGAGCGAGCATGCATTGGGCTAAAGAGAGATAGGAGAAGACTTCGTTGACATTTTGAGCTGAAGCAAGAGGTGCTTTGTTTACGTATCAAGGAACCCCCTTTTATACAGCTCCTTGGCCTTTAGACTTTCCAACAGCCTGAAAAGTGTTTACCAAGGTACTAGGGTCGTTGGCGGTTCACCTGACATCAAGGAAAATACATATTTACACATATTTACTGTTATCTTGATGATCTCCTAATCCGTTCTTTATCTCAGTGCGGATTCAAGGATGTTCAAGCCATTATAATATATCTAGAATTACACAGCTTTCTAGCAAACGCTCAAAAGCGTCATCTTGCTCTGGTACAGCAGCTGCTGCATCTGGGGTCATCATTGGTAATTGTGTGGAAAACAAGATAGAAAAGATAAAGTACTGGCAAGGTTGTTGATCAACAGGAAGAAGTAAGGCTGATACTGTTTGCATTATACTCTCCTGGTGGCACCGTACCATGTGTTCCTATGGGCCAAAGGTGACCAAAGAACACAATTATGCTTGATTCTGGCATTTCATGTATCTATTCAATACCCTCAGCATCAAGGAAGCCATTCAATTCAATCATAGGACCAGAATGGTTCAAAAGACAACCAATGTAGCCTAAAAGAGTTCAAAAATAACTTCCTTTGAGAGGAAGATATTGCAAAGAGTGGCTTGCCCATAAGTCACTCAATAAATACACACACACACAAAGGTGGTCCTGGTACTTCTCAGTAGAAGATGCCCTCACTTGCTGCATGGAAAGAAACACTTGGTATTCAGCTGACCAAAAGATTGGCAGTTCAAATCCAGGGAGTAGGGTGAGCTCCCATCTGTCAGCACCAGCTTCTCATGTGGGGACATGAGAGAAGCCTCCCACAGGATAGTAAAACATCTGGCCATCCCCAGGGCAACGTCCCTACAGATGACCAATTCTCTCAAACCAGAAGCGACTTGCAGTTTCTTGAGTTGCTCCTAACGCAAACACACACACACACAAACAAACCATAAAGATTATTTTCTCCAGAAAACTAAGCATAGACCATTCTTCCCTATATGGCTGATTGTGAGATTCCATGACTCTTGGCGTAGATTTGAGTTGCTATAATTGTGCAACAAGAAAGGACTTCTGGAGTGGGATAAACTACCCAAATATTTACATAATTGAAAAAAGGATAAATGTTACATGGCACCCTAAGTTTTATTCTCTGATCTCTTCTGTATCTTAAATTTAAACAGGCAAAGCAGTTAAGGAGTGCAAAGCTTTTCTAAACATCAATGCTTGTCAAATGTAAAATGCAGAATATCGATGCATGTTTAAAAGAGTGGACTGAACTAAAGGGTCCTTATCCGTTCCAGATTTCAGATTCTATGAGTATTTTTTTTCTCACCAATAGTGGCAAGCGGATGGTAATTTATGATGGTAGATTATTTGGGTTTGGGTTGCTGTGAGTTTTCTGTGCTGTGTGACCATGTTCCAGAAGCATTCTCTCCTTATGTTTCGCCCACATCTATGTCAGACATCCTCAGAGGTTGTGAGGTTTTTCAGAAACCAGGCAAGTGGTTTTTATATATCTGTGGAGTGTCCAGGGTGTGAGGAAAAACTCATGTCTGTTTGAAGTAAGTGTGAATGTTGCAATTGACCAGCTTAATTAGCATTGAATAGCTTTGCAGCTTCAAAGCTGGCTGCTTCCTGCGAGGGGGGGGATCATTTGTTGGGAGATATTAGCTGCCCCCATTGATTCATGTCTGGAATTTCCCTGTTTTCTGAGTGTTGCTCTTTATTTACTCCTGATTGTAGAGTTTTTTTAAAATACTGGTAGCCAGATTTTGTTCATATCCATGGTTTCCTATTTTCTGTGGAATTTGTCCACATGCTTGTGGATGTCAGTGGTTTCTCAGTATGGTCTGACATGGTGGTTGTTGGAGTGGTCCAGCATTTCTGTATTCTCAAATACTACGTTGTGTCTAGGTTGGTTCATCAAGTGCTCTGCTATGGCTGACTTCTCTGGTTGAAGTAGTCTGCAGTGCCTTTCATGTTCCTTGACTCGTGTTTTGGCAATGTTGCATTTGTTGGTCCCTATGTAGACTTGTCCACAGCTGCATCGTACACGGTAGACTCCTGCAGAGGTTAGAGCAGGAGTCCTCAAACTAAGGCCCAGGGGCCGAATGCGGCCCTCCAAGGTCATTTACCCGGCCCTCGCTCAGGGTCAACCTAAGTCTGAAATGACTTGAAAGTACATAACAACAACAACAATCCTATCTCATCAGCCAAAAGCAGGCCCACATTTCCCATTGAATACTAATAAGTTTATATTTGTTAACATTGTTCCTCATTTTAATTATTGCATTGTTTTTAAGTGTTTTTTACACTAAAAATAAGATATGTGCAGCGTGCATAGGAATTCATGCTTTTTTCAAATTATAATCCGGCCCTCCAACAGTGACCTGGCCCTCTGTTTAAAAAGTTTGGGGACCCCTGGATTAGAGGATCCCTCTTGTCCTTTGCTGAATGTAGCATTTGTTGGATTTTCTTAGTGGGTCTGTAGATAATTTGTAGGTTGTTTTCTTCATCAGCTTCCCTATGCGGTTAGTGTTTCCCTTGACATATGGTAGGAGCACTTTTGTTACTCCAAAGTGGGGTAAGAGAACAGCATTACTTTTGGGGAAAATTCAGTCAGAATACCTTATTAAATGACCTTTAAAAGTATCTTCTAAAAAAAATAGAAAACTTTAGTGGTTCTGCCAGTAAAGAGAATTTTTCCCACTTGGAAATATAACTTCATTATGTTCTGTTTACTAATCTTCACCTGCAGGAATTTGTTCCATATTACTTGTTTCTTACCAATGCTGGGTTTGCAGTGTAAAATTGCTAACTTTGTAAGCTTTACCATTGCCAACCTGACCATTTTCTGGTGAACTCATCCCCAGCTCTCCCAGTGGTTTTTCTTCCCAACAGCTGAGGGAGAGAGCATGGCGGTTCCCGCTGACCATGGGCAACCAGAAAAGCGAGATGAGGGACCGCTTCCCAGGCTGGCCCAACCTGCCACATGAGCCCACCTTTCATGCTGGACCTCAGCCCTTTGGACTAGCTGCGCATCATTCAAATGGAGCATCCAAGGTATTCCATTTTATGACATTAGGTTGGAGTGAGCCACCTTCCCAACTGTTTCTTCTAATGTGGGGGGAATGCCAGCATCCAGATTCTTCCTGCTTTAGTGGCGCTTTGTTCTCTTGCAGTCCATTGTGGCCAGCACACGGAATGAAGAGATAGCTGGCAAGCCCTTCTATGTCCGGGACAAGGCAGTTTTGCGGCTCAATGAACCGTATATGTCCATCACCACTCGAGACTTCCATCCTTTTACAAAGTAAGTACCATTTCCGTCACTCTCTGCCCTTAGCCTATTCCCCCTTTTACACATTATGCTGTGGTAACATCACCTGCCAAGCTCAATTACTAATAGACCTCTATACAGAACATCCCTTCAAAACCTACGTAAAGGTTTTCCTTATTTGCGTAATGAGAAGATCCAGATATGGTTCTTGTAGTGAGTAGGACCAGAGCCAACCAGGCGAATGAGTTAGCATCATGGCCAAATATGAACATCGGCCCATTTGCATAAAAGAGTTAACTTACATAAATCACATAATAGGATCCTTTTGTTAATGGCTTTTTAGTGTCACGATAGAAAAATATATATATGAAGGGTGAAAACCAACTGACTGAGCTAATTTTTCTCCAATGCTAAACTGCTTGCATAGTTTGCATATCTTTTATGGAGGGGAAAGGTCATGCTTCGACATTCTGCCTTTCTTTATGTGCTTCTGCAGTATATAACCCTTTGGATTCCATCCTCACTTGGGTTCAACTTGGGGTGGGGAGCACCCAAACCTAGTGAGCTTCTCATGTATCCTGCACTGTTGCCCAAGGGATGGTGTAACGCCAGGGAAGCCATCTGTTTGTAAAGAAGCGTGTACATATGTGCGGTCCTCTGCCAACACTTTAATACCTGAGGCGACCTGTGTGTTGTAAAACAAAAGCCTCTTGGCTTTGAATCACAGGCTGGAGGCTCTCTTATATGCAACAAAGTAACGAAGTTTTATTCAAACACTTCAGGCTCCAAACACTTGTGGTTACAATTGATATTTTTGTTGCAAACTTGAGTTACAGTCATTTATAATATACTTGGTGCACTTTCCTAAAATAGACTTTCCAAGTTTCTCATTTACCAAGATGGTATTTGCTTTACACATACTTGACTAAAATTACTTTCTGATTAAAGCACCACTGGCTTTTCTTTAAGTTCCCAAAACTTGTGCTCTATTTGACTAACTGCTTACTTTTCTAACAGGAGTTCTTAACTATCTCTCATGAACAGGAATCCCTAACTCTTCAACTGTACTTCACAAACAGCAATCCCTAACTAACTGTCATTTTTTAAAACTCTCCCTCTAACTCCCCTCCTTTTTGAACTTAACTCCGCCCCTTTAGAACGTTCAGCTCTGCTCTTCCCAACTGTCATTTTGTCTCCCAACCTGTTGAAATCCTGGGCCTATGCTAATCTGCATATGCCCAATCGGCCTCCATATGCAAATAAATCCTGTCCCTGCTGTTACTACCCTCTCTGTCTCTATTCTTCCCTATCTGCCCCCTGCAAACATAGAGCTATGCACTAAAATTTCACATAGAGTAACAAATTCACTACAGATGGGTTAAAATTTCTGGGGCCAAATGGTACAAAACAAATGAAAGTATTCTATGGGCCCTTCCACACAGCCATATTGATGTAGAAAGAAGTGTGCTGGTCCCCACATGGGGTTCCCAAGGTGCAGGGGTCTATTCAGCATAAAGCGAGATAGGAGTTAGTCTTAGAATTAGCTCAGGAAAAAGATGGCACCAGTTTGGAGACAATTGGTTGACCCGTGGATACGGGGGCCTGATGAGTTTCCGTATCCGCGGTTCATAGGAACGCAGTTTCAGCCTCCCTGGGACACTGCGAGAGCATCCCGGGTGAGCAGGCGAGGTTCCATAGCTCTGAAAAGGAAAGGTTCATAGGATAGCGAGTTAGAGTCAGTAAAAGACACAAAGTATCACTCTGGAGAGAGAGAAAGTTACAAGGAAGGATACTTTTTATTGGGGGGATTTGTTACAATGAAACAGTGTGAGATCAGTAGGGGGAGAAAAGGAAAAATCCCTGTGTTGAAGCTGCTGCTGGAGCCACAGTCCTTTGCCTGAAAGTCCATACTTTCAGGAACTGCAGAACTCCCTGCTGCATCTCAGATCAGCTTGATATTAGGGGTATGTGAGTTCATCCTCAATATAAACCAGAATATCAAGGGAGAAGATCCCACAGTATCGGTTATTTGAGTCCACAGTGCCATATATTCCCGTTCAAAGCAGAAAATGTGGGATTTTATTCAGCTGTGTGGAAGGGGCCTAGGTTTCCAAGATTTGATCAGAAAACTATGAAGAAAAGTTTACAAAATTCATGGGTGTTCAGTTATGAGACAAGGTAGAGCCTGAATAAACATGATAGAGATTATAAAACTTGTGCATAGTTCAGAAGACACAAACAGAGATGAATCTCTGACACTTGCAGTTCCAACATTTGGAGGAACGCACGATTTTCAACCCTGGATCAAATCCACCAACTGCTCAGACTTCTGTGATTTTGGCAGGCATAGCCCACACATTTTGGAGGTTAGAACAGTCATGGGCAAACTTGGGCCCTCCAGGTGTTTTGGACTTCAACTCCCACAATTCCTAACAGCCGGTAGGCTGTTAGGAATTGTGTGAGTTGAAGTCCAAAACACCTGGAGGGCCCAAGTTTGCCCATATATGGTTTAGAACCTTTTTAAAAAATTCAGAATCACATCTGCGATGCTGCTTTGATTCCCCAAGAGATATCTTAGAGATTCATTTGTTCAGCATCCTCTTGTCTCCCTGCAGGCATTCATTCCCCTAAACTACTCTGGTTGAGTCCTCTTTTGCAGGAAGCAAGAGCTCTGGTTCTCTACCCTTCTTCTCTTTTCCCTCTCCTGCAGGAACGAAGTACTTGAGTACTTAAAGGAGAACCCACAGGCACGGTATTCCCACCCTTTGATCCGTCAATCTGGGCCGATGCGGGACATCCCGCTGTTTCCCCGTGCCACTCGGGTACCCCGCCTGCCCCCCAATATACCTGCGGTTCCCCACCGTGGCCTGCTCAGCCAGACCAAAGAGTCCTACCAGCCTCCCAATGATCACAAGCGCTCCTGGGATCGCTACTGCCCGGTGGAGAAGCCACCCACCGTCTCCTGTCGGGTGCCAGTGGTGGAGATCATGTGTGTGCCCCGCATGTATGAGACGGAGTACAAGTGCTACGGAAGTGGCAAATTCATGCCGGTGTGAGAAAGTGTCGTTGGCAACTGTTCTGCAAACTTTTAGGTTTGCTTCTTTTCTCTTACTCAAAGGAACAAGCAGAATGTTGCTGTTTGTTATTTGTCTCTGTGTTCATTTTGCTAAGGACAACCTACTGTCTTGACTTTTAGAGCAGAACCTGCAAGTTATATTGTTTGCCTTACAAATCCCAAGATCCCTCACTGACCATGCCAGTTCACTCCAGAAATGCCCAAACTCTGGTTTAGTGTAGATGGGCAACATGAGGCCTTCAAAATAGTGTTGGATTTCACATCCCTTCATCCCTCATAGCTGGCTAGGGCTCAGGGGAGTTGTGGTCCAACAACATTTGGAGGTGTGTCATCTGTCCAGCATTGATTTGGAGGCATTCAGAAAATGTTGTGTTTTGGGCTGCCCCATGCAAGAAACTGCCCCAAATTTGAAAGTATCTAACTCAGTGGTTCTCGACCTTCCTAATGCTGCAACCCCTGAATACATTTCCTCATGTTGTGGTGACCCCCAACCATAACATTATTTTCATTGCTGCTTCATAACTGTAATTTTGCTAGTGACCTACGGATGTGAGAGCTGGACCATAGGGAAGGCTGAGCAAAGAAAGATAGATGCTTTTGAACTGTGGTGCTGGAGGAAAGTTCTAAAGAGTGCCTTCAAGAAATAAAGCCTGACTGCTCATTGGAGGGAAGGATAGTAGAGGCCAAGATGAAGTACTTTGGCCACATCATGAGAAGAAAGGAAAGCTTAGAGAAGACAATGATGCTGGGGAAAATGAAAGGAAAAAGGAAGAGGGGCTGACCAAGGGCAAGATGGATGGATGGTATCCTTGAAGTGACTGGATTGACCTTGAAGGAGCTGGGGTGGTGACGACCAACAGGGAGCTCTGGCGTGGACTAGTCCACGAAATCACGAAGTTGGAAACGACTGAACGAATGAACAACAACATGAATCACAATGTAAATATCTGATATGCAGGATGCATTTGCATTCACTTACCAAATTTGGCCCAAATTTGAATACTGGTGGGATTGGGGGGAATTGATTTTGCCATTTGGAAGTTGTAGTTGCTGGTATTTATAGTTCACTTATAATCAAAGAGCATTCCGAACTCCCCCAACAATGGAATTGAATGAAACTTGGCACAGAGAACTCCCATGACAAACAAAATACTGGAAGGGTTTGGTGAGCATTTGCCTTGAGTTTTGAAGTCGTAGTTCATCTAGAGAGCACTGTGGACAATGATAGATCTGGACGAAATTTGGCACAAATACTCAATATGGCCAAATGTGAACACTGTTGGGGAAAACAGACCTTGACATTTGGGAGTTGTACTTACTGGGATGTATAGTTCACCTACAATCAAAGAACATTCTGAACCCCACCAACAGTAGAATTAGGCCAAACTTCCCAAACAGAACCCCCATGACTAACAGAAAATACTGTGTTTTTCTGATGTGCTTTGGCGACCCCTCTGACACCCCCTTGTGACCCCGCTAGGGGTCCTGACCCCCATGTTGAGAAACACTGTTGTAAATTCTGGCAAAAGCAAATTGTTTCAGCCTCTTTGGCTCATGTGTTCTTCCTCATAATTATAATTCTTGCTATATTGACTATAATTTGCTGGTACCCTATGTCTCATTTTTGATCTGTGAAAGGTTTTGTGATCTAAAAACTTATTACAAACTCAAGTGCTTTGAAAAGGGCTCTTGCTCAGAGGTGTTTCACCGAGTGTGTGCGTTTAACTGGAAGCATGTGAAGTCGTTTTGCATCAATTGATTTTCATTTTATACACTTCCTATAGAACATACATACACCCTACAAGCTTTACTGCAACTTTCAAAAATGGTTTTTTCATTAAGCCTTTTTTAAACAAGCTCTTTTAAAACAAGACTGCAGTATCTCAACCAATAGCAGAGTATTTAACACTTTCTAGTACAGGCCAAAAAGAGTATTGAAGGTCTAAATGGCTGTTGGATAGAATTAAGGGCAGCAGGAAGTTAATAAAAAAACAAAGATATGGAAGCTGGAATGAGGCGACTAACATGATCAAAGGTATAGAGAACAAGCCCTGTGAGGAGCAGCTTAAAGAGCTGGGCATGTTTAGCCTGCAGAAGAGAAGGCTGAGAGGAGATAGGATAGCCATGTATAAATATGTGAGGGGAAGTCATAGGGAGGAGGGAGTAAGCTTGTTTTCTGCTGCCCTGGAGACTAGGACATGGAAATATGTCTTCAAACTACAAGAAAGGAGATTCCATCTGAACATTAGGAAGAACTTCCTGACTATGAGAACTGTTTAGCAGTGGAACTCTCTGCCCCGGAGTGTGGTGGAGGCTCCTTCTTTGGAAGCTTTTAAACAGAGACTGGGTGGCCATCTGTTGGGGGTGCTTTGAATGCAATTTTCCTGCGTCTTGGCAGGGGGTTGGACTGAATGGCCCACAAGGTCTCTTCCAACTCTATGATTCTGATTCTATATCTCGGTTTCCATCTTAATCCTCTTCGAAAAGAGGAGGGAAGCTCATCCAAAGAGACCGGAGACTCATATTTCACGAAGAGCTTTTCTTATCACCATCCTTCCATCAAAGCTTCAGGCAACATGCATAGGATTATCCCACATTATCCTCTCAATAACCTTGTGAGGTAGGTTAGGCAGGTAGAGCTGCTTGTCCAAGGCCAAGCTGTAAGCTTCATGGCTGATAGACTGTTTTCCCGTCCTGAGTATATTAGAGATGGATGACCCTGGGACAAATATATTACCTCCTCCCACCTACAACTGGCAATACCTTAAAAAAAAACCATCAAAAATCTGTCCACTTCCACCCTGAAGGCCAGATCTGGTAGTGGGTGGACTTGTTTCTAGTAGGACCTCTCTCCTGTTTGTGAGCTCTGATAGATTTGCAAGCAGACATCTCATTCATGAGCAGGGCAGTGAGACCTGGCTACACATTTTAATTTCCCATAAAGCCTGAGAGCAACATATTATCAATTCTAGGAATTGTAATTTACTAAAAAGAAAGAATAACTTTCTCAATATCTGCATTCCTCACCCACTGTAGCTGCTAAAGTATACCAAAGCATTTGCATTCACTGACCAAATTTGGCTTCTCGTCAATCCTGCTGTTGCCTGGGATTGCAACTTCGACAATTCATACATTGTTTTTTTCCACAATAGTGAGGTTAGGAGTATTGTTGTTGTTGTTATATGCTTGCTGGTGCCTGTAATACTTTCAGGAAAGAAAGAAATCAATTTGTCCTAAAGCCAAAATTCAGCTAGCTGCTTGAGGAATGGTGTGGATCCATTGCCCAACACACTCTGCAACCTTGACAGCCAGATGATGAAACAAAGACTGGGTTTGAAGGCAACAAACAGAGATTTATTGGCTTTAGGCCTGAAAGGATGTCTGATACTTAGTGCCCTTCCAGGCAGGACTATATCCTAGGATCTGATCCCAGGTTTTCTGCTTTAAATTGGATAAATAATCTGGTATCAACAGAAAACCTGGGGTATAGTGCCTACCTGGAAGGGGCCAGAGTCTCCGCTCTAAAACAATCAGTCATACACTTGCAGCTCAATGCAACACATTTAATCCCCTTTGTCAGCCATTCAAAATACCTGCTCCATCCCATGATTGGCTGAAAAGCTGTCAAGATCCACACTTTCACCGCCTGGGAACTCCTGTTGACATCAGAGATGGATGGAACTTCCCCCATGGCGAGAAGAATGGAGAGCTGTCGTTGGTCTGCTTAAAGTTGGAGCCGTTCAAAGAGTCTGCCCAGTCTGGGCTAATAGTACAATGTGCAGTCGCGTGTTGGGCCTGTGGGGATGTCTGTTAACAGGATGTGCTATTTGAATGCCCAATGGGACGCCAGGGTGCCTCGGCTGAGAGGCCCTATAGATTTCCCTACACAAAGTTCTGCAGAGGTTTAAGAGAAGTCCAACAAAGTTCTTTATTAAGGATAAAATCTTCAAACACGGAATAAACACTCTGTAACTTTGGAAAATTGGTAACTTCTTCAATCTGCCAACGAGGGACAGGCAACTGCTTAATAAACTGTTCATTTCTTCTTTAAGGGAAATCCTTTGACCCCTCCCTGGGCAATCTCTTTACTTTGTTGGTGTGGGCCCTACTCATGGGCCATCCAATCCATCCATTCAACCCCCAAAGTCCGGAATACACAAAAAGAATCAGCATCTGAGACAATGAAGAGGCTTGTGCAAATACAGACAGTTCAGTTGAATGCATACAGAATAATACAGATTCCATCAAAGTGCTGTTTGTGTCTGACGTTTCCAACCACCTGGACATCCTCAGGAGTTCAATCCCCTTTGTGTTTCTAAATCAGGTCTTTCCTGTTTACTCTGTTTACCTGCGTGAATTCATTTCTTAGCAGGACATAGAACCTGTTTCACAAACACCAACAAATTACTATACTTTAAGGCTCTTTCTGCCAACCTAGGATGTGATTAGATCAATAGGTACCTCTTCTGCGGGAAGATAATGGCGCTCCATGCAATCCTGCTGGCCACATGACCTTGGAGGTGTCTATGGACAGCATTGGCTCTTCAGCTTAGAAATGGAGATGAGCACCACCCCCAGGGTTGGACACGACTAGACTTAATGTCGAATCTGGGGAGTGGGGTGAGCTCTCGCTGTTAGCCCCAGCTTCTGCCAAGCTAGCAGTTTTAAAAAATGCAAATGTGTGTAGATCAATAGGTACCGCTTCTGCGGGAAGGTAGAGGTGCTCCATGTAATCATGCTGGCCACATGTCCTTGGAGGTGTCTATGGACAGCACTGGCTCTTCAGCTTAGAAATGGAGATGAGCACCACCCCCCAGAATCAGACACAACTAGACTGAATGTCAGAGGATACCTTTTTAAGGCTCTTTTTAGGTGCTCTGGATCGTATCTGCCCATGCCCCATTTAATACAACACACACATATATAAGAATCCCCCCTTGTTCACATCCATCAGTAGATCATAAACATGAATTCATAAGGGGAAACTCAGGGTGCATAGTATCTGGGGTTTAGGGCGCAACTCCTTGGGTTTGAGGCTTTGGGATTAGTCTATTGTTCAGGAACATTTCCCTGCCTCCTCTCCTTTTTGGCAATCACTTGTGGCTGTATCTGATTGACTTTTTGGACCACAAACCCCAGAATTCCCTTAATATAACAGTTGCAGTGTTCCAGGAGCTCCTGGTGATGCAATGGTTAAACCCTTGAGCCGGCAGGACTAAAGACTGACAGGTCAGAGGTTCAAATCCGGGGAGAGCGCAGATGAGCTCCCTCTGTCAGCTCCATCTCCGCATGTGGGGACATGACGGAAGCCTCCCACAAGGATGGTAAAACATCAAAAGTATCCGGGGGTCCCCTGGGCAACATCCTTGCAAATGGCCAAATTTCTCATCCCAAAAGCAACTTGCAGTTCCTCAAGAAAAAAAATGTTGCAAAAATGCAACATTTCTAGTTTCTTACAGCAAAGCAAACAGTGGGTAAGGAGATGAATTCTACCAGATCTTTTTTTGAAATGTTGTCTCAAGAATGTTGTATT